TGTGTGTGTGTGTGTGTGTGTGTGTGTGTGTGTGTGTGTGTGTACACGCAGTCTGTTGTTGCATACTTCAACAAGCAGGCCGGGAAATCGAGGGAAGAGGCCAAACTGATGTTTCTGAAGGTCCTCTACAAATGGCCGACCTTTGGCTCCGCCTTCTTTGAGGTTAAGGTAAACGGACCTGAGCTTGTCACCTCCACAGTGTAACCTGAGTGTTTGGCTGATGCCAGGAAGGACGAATGTCTAACATCACCAAAAAATGTTCACATTAAATTAAATGTGTTTTTGTTTTGAGGCAAATGTGTAAATAATAAAGTTTGTTCAAGCAATCAGCGACCTCGTGCTGTTTCCGGGGCAACTGGGGCTTAAATCTCCGAATGTTCTCATTTCAATAGAAACCGACTTTATCCTGCAAGATCTCCAGTATTTTTCAGAGCCACAGTCTAAAAAATGATCAGAGGAAAAGACCGACAAAGTCTTTGTCAAACGTCTCGGGACTTCTCGAACTCCCACCTCAAAGTAAAAAATAACGAAATTGGAATAAACGCAGACAGGTGAAGCATGCAGACTTTACTGTAGGCTGATTTACAGAAAAATAAGGCAATAAATTATCATTCTGCCATTTTTCTTCAGGCTGCTTCAGTAGTTGTGGATGATCTACATCGAAGTGACTACAGATTGTGTTAGTGGCTCAGTTAGATTTACTTGTTTCAGTTAGTTTTTATTAGCACTCTGCCAGCTGTTTACAGCTGTGAACATGAAGGAGCAAAAGAGGGATGATGATGGATGGAAGGATCAGTGCTGTGTAGTCTGAGCCGCCATCTGAAACACCTGATTGCACAAACAGAGTCCACATTTATGCTACAAACTACAGAGAAATGCAACAGTTTTATACGTAAGGTTAGAGATGATTAGTGAGTATTTACCCATCCTAACATGTGGCTTCTGTCTTTTAGCAAACCACAGAGCCCAACTACCCGGAGATCCTGCTGATCGCCATCAACAAGCATGGAGTCAGTCTCATTGACCCCAAGTCAAAGGTTCGTTAATAATCATAACTCCCGGCATACGTATCGGTTATGTTTTAGCCGCTGCGCTCGTTAACCTGTTAAGCCGGTGCAGTAGCTTTGATGACCTCTGTGTCTGCAGGACATCCTGACCACTCACCCCTTCACCAAGATCTCCAACTGGAGCAGCGGGAACACCTATTTCCACATCACCATCGGCAACCTGGTCAGAGGAAGCAAACTGCTGTGCGAGACATCACTGGTGGGTGCCAGCAATGAACACTTACACACACACACACACACACACACACACACACACACACACACACACACACACACACTTTTTGTTCTATGTTTACTAAGAGTTCAGGTGCTTGAGC